GGGGGGGCGGGGGGGAGAAAGGGGGGGGAGAAAGAAAGCAAAACACCAACAATGTTATCAGTAGTCGGGAAGGGGTCTATGCATCTGTGGAATGCAGATTTCGCTCTATGATAATTGATTAAACCACCACTACCTTCGAGCCTCTTCTTGCCGAGGCGGAGAAGAACTGTGCACTAAGCTTTGTCGAAACACCAGCGCAACCTTTTTTCTTCTGTCTTACCTGGCTCCGCCAGTCATTTTGGTTCGGAGGAGGCTCACTGTACCCGAAGAATGCGGTATAGGTGATATTCACGACTTATCCTTCCACTCTGAAAGGTAGTGGTGGCTTAACTCAACTCCCGAAAAACCTAGTGGATTTGTCTGTCCCTGTAAAGAATGGGTCTTTAATCAATCTTGGGATGTTTTTCAAACGGGAAGGCTTATATTTCGCTCATGCCATTGACTTCTTGTGCTGTAGCCTTAAACCACCATAATGCGACCATACCTGTCTTTCACAGTCTGGGATGGGAAATTCCGGGCCTATCATGGTCACCACTTCGGGAACAAGGAAGCCCTCCTACGAGGTAGTGGTGGCTTATATCAAACAGTTTTGTCATACACGAATGGGACGGACGGACAAACCAACAGACCGATGGACACGACGATCACAGACCAAGAAGCGGTAACAGAGTCCTAAATTTTCAGGGTTTTTCAGGGTCATTATAATGACGTCCCCCACCTTTTAAGCCAGGCTTGTCACCAGTTCATAGAGTGGACACCATATAAACCAACTGGCAATAGCAAAAAAATAAAGTAAAAAAAAAAAGGATCAAATGAACCAGGTGAGCACTCCTCTTTCCAAACTTTGCACCCTTGCTCACTTGCCGTCTTGATTTGGTGATTTTCTTCCCTGATTACCGTAATGTTTCCTGCTCTTCTGCAATTGTTTGCCCCATTTTACACTTAGAAATTAGAATGTATGTTCGCAGTGCCTTGTCAAATTATCCAACACTGCCTACACCTATCACCTTCCAACTGTTTCATTTTCTCTTCTATTTTCCAATCCACCACCCCCAATTCGGCTTTCTCTCCCGGTCATTGCATCGTTCACCATACTCCTTTCTAAACGTCAGCCGTAGCCGCACAGGCCGTTCTTGTCTGACTTTGATTTTGACGATATCCCACGGACCAAGTGTGCTGACCGCGGCAGTTGCAAAATGGGGTGGTGCTGTTTTAGCATTGGAAAAGTAGTGAGGAGATCAGCATTCAAAACGAAGCAACTATGGTCTTCACCGGAACAGAATGCCCGGTCATTATCGTAACATCTGGACTGAATGCTGCTCCAGGTACACTGCTATGATGGCCGGGCATGAAGTGGCACTCTGTGTAATAGGCATTTTTCAGTCCCGATCCAGTCATAATGACGGTGACATATCTGACGCTCTGCACCCGCTGTCTTTCGGGACATCTGTTGAAACTGAAAAGATATGTTTCCGGGACAGCCATTGAAATTGGAACGATACAGAGACCCCTGCGCAAGGATGACACACATATATCTTGAAAAACTGGAAAGCTACAGAGAAGAGGCCCTGTGCGGATGACAAGCACAAGTCACAAAATCATACAGAAACGATTTTCACCTTTTGCAGTCACAGATGCGGATCTCAGGGCTCGATCCCCAGACCTTACCTCACCTTACCTTCCCTGTGTATAGTATCAAGTCGACCCTGTGTGTCTTGAACCCGTGACCTGTGTGTTAGTAGTTGAAAGTTGTCTGTCGTAGGTCTGAGTAGTTGTTGGGTCTTGAACCTTAGACCTGTCGAAGTAGGGGTCATACCTGCATAGGGGTCATAGTCGTTGAAGTTCTGAAAGGTCAAGGTCGTAGCTGCTACAGTCCTGAAAGGTCAAGGTCGTAGTTGCTACAGTCCTGAAAGGCCAAGTCCGCAAACTTCCGGATGGTCCGGAAGTGGCCTTTCAAGTTTCTTCTCACGTTATACACAGCAGACCAGAGGCAAGTGGGCAAGTGGTGAGTCCAACTTCGCTTAGTCAGTGGTACCCAGTCCCAGTCTCACTTTGTACAGTCAGCAAGTACCATGAGGGACTGTGTGCACCATGGGCCCGGCGGAAAAGGGCAGACCAACGCAGAAGTATAAATCAAGAGGCAGCGTGCAGCCATTCATTCATTCCTGCGTGAGCCATGCCGAAGCGCTGCCCGAGCGTCTTGTGCGAGGTGGTCTGCAGGTGCCCGAGGTCGAAGTGGGCTTGGACAAGTTAGTGTGCCATAGTTAGTAGTAGCCGGCGCCGCTAGCGGTAGATGTTAGAGTGTGTGTACGTGTGTGTAATGCAGTGAGCACGTGTGGGGTATTCAGGGTGATCTCTAGTTGAGTGTGTGCGAACAGTGGTGTTGGACACAGTGACGAGAGTTGGGATGTACAGGCGCTGATGCGACATAGCCTGTTGAAGCGAGTTTGCGTCTGAACTGTGTTCTCGTTTTCCATCTCTGAGCTTTGAGTGGGCGCTTGGCGCCAGTGTGAATTGCCATCTGTTAGCATGTATGCGAAGTGAAGAAGAAAGCGAGTCTGATTGCAGAGACATGAGGTCGGCTACAGCATCACACGCATGGTCTCACACGCACACACACCCACAAAACAAAAAAAGAGAGACTAATTCTAATAAATAAATAAAAAGTGTTTGCAACAGTTGCAGTGGCATGCAACCCAGCGTGCTGCATCTATGCTCGTTATGTGTGTGGCGTGGCGCGCATGGCGTGCACCGCACGGCGCATGGCGCACGGCGCACTGCAATGTTGCGCCGCAAGTATGGTCCAAAGTTCCAAACTGCTTAACCCCCCTACTCAGGGTGCATTTTTCTATGTATGTATTCGACTACTAGCTACTTACAAGAACTGTTACCACTCTGTGATGACCACCAGACTACATCACCTGCAATACTTGAGAAACAATGGATACGTGGTAGTCAGTTGATTTGCCGGTCTTTTGAACTCACTAAGGGTTCAGTCTAGATAAGAGCTGGGATGGTTGGATTTGGCGGGCGGGGTATTACCTTGGTTACTTACCCACTCTCTAGACTCAATTTTATCTGGAGAGAGAAGAGAAGAAAGTCCGTCTCCCAGATCTAGGCTACCATCCGGGCCGCCTGGGTCACACTATTTTCCCGGGCGGCCCTACTGTGAAAAGACCAGGGAAGGTACTAGTGAAACGGTATTCACCTGTTAGCAGTAGCGAATGCAGATCCCAGGGCTCGATCCCTAGTTCTTACCTTACCTGTGTACAGTACCTGTGTCGACCCTGAGAGTTACCCGTGACCTGTGTATTCGCAACAGTTGGTAGGCTGTCGTAGGTCCGTAGGTGGTAGGGGTTCGATCTGTAGACCTGTCGGATAGAGGACTTAGTGAGTTCTAGAAGTCTGTAGCTCCTCTGAAAGGTCAAGTTCGTAGCTGCTACAGTCCTGAAAGGTCAAGGTCGTAGCTGCTACAGTGTCGAAGGGCCAAGTCCACAGACTTACGGAAGGTCCAGAAGTGGCCCTTCCAACGTTGCTCACAGTAGACTAGAGGCAAGTGGGCAAGTGGTGAAGTCCACCCTTGCTGAGTCAGTGGTACACAGTCCCAGTCTCACTGAGTCCGGTCAACAAGTGCCATGAGGGACTGTGTGCACCATGGGCCTGGTGGAAAGGGGCAGGCCAGCAGCGAACAGAAGTATAAATTAAGAGGCAGCGCCCAGCCATTCATTAATTCCTGTGTAAGCCATGCGGAAGCGCTTTCTTGAGCGTCTTGTGCGAGGTTGTCTGCAGAGTGCCCAAAGACGAAGTGGGCTGAAGGAGATAGTTAGCCATAGCCAAAGACGAAGTGGGCTGAAGGAGATAGTTAGCCTGGCTGAAGGAGTGTGTGTGTACGAGGGTGTGTGTATGCGTGCGGGATATCCAGGGTGATCCGGAGTTAAGTAAGTGCGAACAGTGGTGTTAGANCTGGCTGAAGGAGTGTGTGTGTACGAGGGTGTGTGTATGCGTGCGGGATATCCAGGGTGATCCGGAGTTAAGTAAGTGCGAACAGTGGTGTTAGACAGAGAGACGAGAGTTGGAGTGTACAGGCGCTGATGTGCCATATCCTGTTGAAGCGAGCTTGTATCTGAACTGTGTTTTCGACTTCCATATCTCTGAGCTTTGAGTGGGCCCTGTGCGCCAGTGTGACTCACCATCTGTTTGCATGAGTGCGGAGTGGAAAGAAAGCGCGTCTGATTGCACTAGCAACCGAAAAAAAAAAAACAAAAAAAAAAACACTATGTTATGCAGAAAAATGAACTGAACAACTTTTGCCTCAGGATCAAATCGAAATTCTTCCCCCCCCCCAAAAAAAAAAGAAAAGGTTCGGGCATGAAAATCTTCCTAGGAGAAAACTATTTTTTTTATTTTTTATTTTTTTTTATGTTTTTTTGGACCGGACAGGCAAGTGGTCCCGGGCCACTCTGGTAGCCTAGCAAGAGATGAAGATAAAGTCCGAAAAGCATCCTGAGGTTCGAATATGAGTCTCGTGATCTCGCTATGTTGGTCATGGAATATACACGTCGTCGTCACCTCGTGCCCGAAAGTACCACCAATCTGTGCTTTTGGACATCCGTTAGAATTGGAATGGTACAGAGAAGATTAGCATGGGCCCTATGAAAGGATGCCACACTTACAAAAAAAAAAAGGAAGGAGAGAGAGAGAGAGAGAGAGAGAGAGAGAGAGAGAGAGAG